CGGGCGCTCAACTTTCTCTTCTACCTCGCCCTGGTGGCGGCGGCCGCCTTCTCGGGCTGGTGTGTCCACCACGTCCTGGAGGAGGTCCAGCAGGTCCGGCGCAGCCACCAGGACTTCTCTCGGCAGCGGGAGGAGCTGGGTCAGGGCTTGCAGGGCGTGGAGCAGAAGGTGGGTACCCCTGGCCCCCCTCACCCCGCATCCACCCGGCGGCGGCTCCCGCACCCCCAGCCCGGCCGCCTCGTGCCCCTTCGTGCCCTCCGGGTCGGGCCCCTAGTCTAGCCCAGACCCTCCACGGCCAGTTCCCCGGACGCCCCCACCCGGCCCCCTAGTTGGGAGGCGGTCCCCGGACCCTCTTTGTTAATGGCCGCGGAGGAATCGGCCCCGAGGGATGGATGGACCGCCGCGAGGGTGGGCCAAGGGCCTGTCACAGGACATTAGCGGTGACCTGTAAGGAAGCCGGCAGGCTCTGGGGAGCCCATTCTTCTTGGATTAGGAACCGCTGAATGGACAGAGTTGTGTGAAAGGAGGTTGGAAGGAAAGCCAGCGCATCCCTGGAAGCCTCTGGCAAGGCCGCACGCACCTCGGCTGTCCCAGTGGGAGACATCTGAGCCAGTTTTTAATAGACCCGCGGCCGGGGAAGGAAAAACTAGTAGTCTTATTCATTTGCGAAATTCAAATGAAATATTACATATCCCTAGGCCCCCTTATCTCTTGGACCAGTGTACCCATGCGGGCCTTTGAATCTGCACTCTTCAGCTTTAGAGGACAGGCCCCCAATACTAGGTCATACTGGCGAATAAGACCACTAGGCACATTTATGTGCTGTTTAGAGGGTTTACTTATTATCTAATTCTCATAGCAACCCTGGGAGGGAGGTGAGACTGGCAATTTTGACTCCATCTTCCAGTCCAGAAAATCGAGAGTTAGATTAAGTGAATTGATAAAGACCCCAACCGGCGAGTGGCGGACTGTGTGAGAATGTCTAGGCCACTGGCCAGTTTGTGGTCCACAGGGTGCTATTTCATGTGTGGACGAACCCAACTTTCAACACAGTTGCTTGGCTTCCACCTTTCTGCGTTTTTTTTCCCCACACCAAGTGGAGCTCCCTCAAATCTTATTCCTCCTCCTTCGTCCTCCACTAATGTCATTGCTCAATGAAAGTTCGTTGCCTGATTGAAACAAAAAATCCCGCCACCACTTAGGAGCCCGGAACTGCTGCCTCCTTTCCCAGCATGCTGCCCTTACTGCCAAGTTTCTCTGGAGTGTGTGGGACTAGGAATTTCCTCTTAAGACTGGTGGAGCAACTGGAATGAGTCAGCCTGCTCAGTGTGGCAGGCCATGGGAGGTGACTTTTGTAAGAGAATTAAGTAGGCAGTGCTGCTTTGCCTATCTTGAATGTTAAATCATCCTTAAAAAAATAGACATACTGCCGGAGTGTAATCACCAGGTTCCCATTTTCCTCCCAATCATCCACCCACTTACTGATCAATCATAATATTTATCGAAGTCTGATAGTCATACGGTTCTGCGTAGGCCTTGTGGAGGGTGTGAAGGTGGAAAAGACACAAATTGTATTTGTGAAGCTGCACAGAAGTAGGATTCGTCGGGGGATACCGGGGAACTGTCCAGAAGAGGGGGTGTGGTGTTGGCCTAGGCTTGTATCCTGGTGGCCCGGGTAGAGCCAGTTGAGATCTAGTTGAGATGGATAACTGTCGAGAGAAGGAATGAAGAACACACAGGCAGGGGACCATCTTGAGCATGTTTAAGGGACGGCAAGTGGCTACCCAGCCTGTGATAGAGTAGCATTCAGGAAGTTGTGAGAAGGGCCATTGAGATTGAGGCCCAAACGGGGGCGGTCCTGAGTCCAGGTTGAAGAAATTGGGCTTTATTCTCCTTGCTTCCTCCCTGTCCCTCTTATTTCCTCCTTTCTGGCCCCCCACTCCTCCATCACAGCTATGCACAGAGTACGTTCCTCTTTGGGGCTCAGTTTTCTCTACACAGCGGGGAGGGCCCCGTTTAGATTTTTGAGAATCCACCTAGCTGTAAACTATTGAAATAATGAGCACTATTTTGTTAGTGACCTTTTAATTTACTAGTGTAATCAAGCTATTATTCAATGCCTCATATTTATTGTGCATTCATCTCTTTTACAGCAACCCCAAGAGCTAAGTGCAGTTGACTCTTGAACAACACGGGTTTGAGTGTGAGTCCACTTATATGTAGGTTTTATTTCAGTAAATACATACAGTACTGTAAATGTATTTACCTTATGATTTTCTTAATAACAATTTCTTTTTTCTAGCTTACTTTACTGTGTAAATACAAGTATGTAATACATATAACTTAGAAAACACGTGGTAATTGACCGTGTTGTCAGTAAGGCTTCCAGTCAACAGTAGGCTCTTAGTAGTTAAATTTTGGGGGAGTCAGAAGTTCAGTGGATTTTTGACTGTGTGGGGTCTGGTTCCTCTAACTTTGCACAGTTACCCAATTAGTAGGTGGCAGAGCTAGGATTTAAACCGCAGTTAACTCCTAGAACATTTCCAACCGCTCATCTGTTCATTTTGTTATCTTTCCCATGCCTTGTCTGGTATGTAGTAGGTGTTCAATTAATGCTTATTCCATTGACTTGGAACTCACAGCATGCCCAAAACAGTATTAGGATTTGCCACACTGTGTGGCCACTAATGTCTGTACCTCTGGATAGACAGTAAATAAGTTATTTTGTATCGAGGAGTGAGTAGTGATGGGTCCCCTGACAACCTAAGTTTGAACCCCTTTCTCACTCGATGTGAGGCTTGGTCAGGGGGCAGGGTTAGGTTCTTAGCAGAGACATATATTAACAGCATTATTATTCATAATTAGTATTCACTATTATTATTCATAATTAGTATCATGCTTATAGTGTTATTCATACTTAGCGTTCACATATTAATGCCAGGCATTCTATTAAGTGCTTCACAGCCACCCTCGGAGGCAGGTACCATTTATTAGTACCATTTCACAGATGGGCCAGCTGATCCTGGAGCAGTTGTGTTACTCGTTCATGGTCACATACAGATCCTAAGTGGCAGAGCTGAAGGGCCCAGTTGCCCTGGCAGATCCAGGGTGGCCTAAAGAGATTGTAGGAGTAAGCTTAGGCCTAGTGGGGACAGTTTAATGAGGCTAGTTGCTATTTGTAGAAGAGTGGGTTCTCTGGTCATATTTCTTTGTTGTCCCGTCTTTACTCTGGACCAGGAGTCAGGGCTTTGGGTTTAGGCAGCATCTCCTCCAGTCACTCCGTGCACTTTGAATATGCCTCTGCCCGAGAATTTCACATAGAGGTTAAGAGCTCAGGTTCTGAAATCATATATTCTGGGATTTTGATGCTCAACTCCAACACTTTTCAGTCTGCTCATCTGTAAAATGGTGGTCAATGGGAGCCACCAACTCGTGAGATTATTATGAGGACGTAATGAGATGAAGTCTCAAGTACTTTGCATAATTACTCGTATACAGTAAGTACCCTGTTGAATGTTGTCACCACTACTCCTCCCCCCTCCCCCGCAAGGCTGTAAGCTCCTCGAAGGCAGAGATTCCGTCCTAGTTGTTATTCTATCTCTGGTATCTTGCCTAACACCCACAACATAGTGGGCATCCCACATTTATTGGGGGAACAGAAGCATCCATTGTATATTAATTGTAAGAAAGGTCTTTGCACATAAAGATGAACAACTCATAACAGCATCAGTGTGGGGACAGTTTTCGTGTTCTTTTCATATACTGTTGGAGGTTGGTTGGTTTGCCTTCATCCGTAATTCTGTTCTCTTCTGTTTTACAGTTGGTTTATTTGAATCAGGATCCATTTAAGTCCACACATTACATTTGATTGATAAATCACCTTCATTTCCTCTAATCTGTAATAGTTCCTGTCTTTTCTGTTCTTTGCTGTTGGAGGTTGGTTGGTTTGCCTTCATCCGTAATTTCTGGTCTAGTCTCCTTCCTAGCCATTTGTTAAGAGTCAGCCTCAGTGAGGGGTGACAGGGATCAGAGGGGAAATGGACCAGCTTGGTCTTCATCAGGCTTTGCTCTGTTAATTCTTTTATTCTTTGATTCACTCAGAAAAACACTGATGAACGCCTGCCATGTTGCAGGTACTGTGTTCACCTGGTCACACTCCTATTCTGAGTGCAATGCTTAGAATAGGCAAGCAGTGTGATTACATAACCTAGTTTCAGAGGTGAATTCTCTCCGGTGTCCTTTATGACTCAGGTTATATTTGGTTGGGCAGGGAAATTGTCTAATATTATGGAGTACCTGAGAAACTTAGTCTAATTTGTCTTAAAATCAGACTGGCAGAAGCCAGAAGGGACTTTAGAAACCTGTTTGTTAATAGACAAGGAGCTTGGAACTTGGAAAATGAGTGTGAATTATTTGTGCTCACAGAGTTGGTTATTGACGGGGCTGGAACCAGAGTCCACATGTGTTGTAGTGTTTTTCCTTTGGCACTGGGCCAAGGATGGTCTAGGAATCTCCAGACTTCTGAGCTACTTAAGAAGAAAGATTAAACAATGATGAAGATGATAGTTAGAATTTATTGATCATTCACTATGTGTTAGGCACAGTTTCAGCACTTTACATATATTAGCTCACTTAATCCTCAAAAGACAATTCTGAGAGTCAGGTACTATTTTTGTTCCCATCCTGCACCTAAGGAAACCAAGGCATAGTTAGGTTAAGTATCTTGCCCACAATCACACAGCTAGGAAATGTCCAAGCTAGGATATGAACATAGGCAGTCTCGTTTTAGAGCCCACACTATATTATTTTTTAACTTTTTATCATGGAAATGTTGAAGTATAAACAAAAGAGATCAATATAGGGAATCCCAATTTCAATAATTATCAACTTTTTCTGTTCTTGTTTCAACCCATCACCACCCATCCTGTTTTTTGGGTCTGGAGTCAGAGCAGTTTGACTCTGAAGCACTCTCCTCCACTACCCCGTTGGGTGCCAACCTGGTTTCTCGTGTTCTCCAGATACTCTCAGTATTGGAAAGTGGCCCAGGACTTCTGAATGGCCATAGCATAGGCAGAGAGGCTGGCTTGTCCTTAGTTGGAAGAAGATTCAGTAGGCACAAGTGGGTGCAGGGCTTCAGGAAATGTTATCAGTTCAGTTTTAGGCCCTCTGAAGGGCCCGTGTTGCCTGGCAGACCCAGTGGATAGTGAACTAAGAACTAATTTTAAAATTCATCTTGACTGACACATTAGTTCACCCAAAATATTTTAAGATTAATTTAGGTAAGAGTTCTTTTCTTTCCTCTCCTTGCTGCTTTTCACAAAACACAGTATATCAACTAAGTTAATAATTCTTGATTATCTTCTAATACCCAGACCATAATCAGATTTTCCTGATTCTCTCAAAAATATGTCTCTTTTACAGTTGGTTTATTTGAATCAGGATCCATTTAAGTCCACACATTACATTTGATTGATAAATCACCTTAATTTCCTCTAATCTGTAATAGTTCCTGTCTTTCCTTTAAAATGCCATTTAATTGTTGAAGATCCTGGTTATTTGTCCTGTAGAATTTTCCACATAGTGGATCTGGCTGATCGCCTTCTCGTGCTGCTTCTCTCGTTTGTTTTCTGTGAATTGGTAATGAGAGAGACTTCATAGATTCAAATTAATCATTTCTTTCTTTTCTTTCTGCAAGAAAGTGTTCTAAGAGACACCAGGATAAAGCCTAGGTCATTAGTCATTATACTGTTAGCCTCTCAGTACATTAACCCAGATCCCTGGGGTGGTTCCCAGGACAGACCTTGTTTTGGGTAGAATTTATTTAGAATGAATGTGTAATGGCCAACAAGATCATAATGTATTCACAAAGCCAGAGAATCTAAGGGATCATATGGTCCCTTTTTGCAGGTGAGGACAGTGACTCGTTCAGGGCCATCTGAACGAATCCTTGTTTCTTGCCTCTCGGTCCAGTGTCTCTCATGTGCCTCAGCTTTTTACCTATGAAAACTTGTGAGACTCTTTCAATTGCAGAAGCTAGAAACTCAGCTCAAAGTGGCTTAAAGAGAGAGGGAGGAAGGGAGGGAGAGAGAACGCATTGGCTCAAACCAGAAAGTTGAAAAGCAGATCCCTTTAGGTATAGCTGTATCCAGGGATCAGATTGTGTCTTCAGATTTTGATCGTGCTGTCTCTCAGTTCTGCTTCCCTCTGTTCTGGCTTGATTCTTAGACTGGTGTTCACTCACTGGTCTGAGCAGCTCCGCACTTCCCTTACCCTGTAGCTCGCAATCCCAGAAGAAAGAGAGGTTTCCTTCCCCAGTAGATGTAACAGAAGTTCTGGAATTGACTTTTTGGCCTGCCTTAGGTCACATGCCCATCTCTGGGCTAAGCACTCTGGCTCCAGGTTGGAGGGCAAGGTGGATGGAAGGTGCTGATTGGTCAGGCTTGGGTTACAAACCATCCCTGGAGCATTTGGAGGGGCCCTCAGGTTAGTCTCCCAGACCACATGGATCGTGGAAGGATGATTCTCCCAAGGAAAATTGTGGTGCCATTCTAGAAGAGGAGGGATCTGGAGGCTGGGCAGACCAAAAAAAAAAAAAAAAAAAGTGTCATGTATGTGTGTGTATATAACTCATCAGCTCTCCTCAGCAATAACATATGGATTTTGGTTGCAGGTACAGTCTCTGCAAGCCACATTTGGGACTTTTGAGTCCATCTTGAGAAGCTCCCAACATAAACAAGATCTCACAGAGAAAGTGGTGAAACAAGGGGAAACCGAGATCAACCGGATCAGTGAAGTTCTGCAAAAACTCCAGAATGAGATTCTCAAAGACCTCTCGGATGGCATCCATGTGGTGAAGGACGCCCGGGAGCGGGACTTCACGTCCCTGGAGAACACGGTGGAGGAAAGGCTGACGGAGCTCACCAAGTCCATCAACGACAACATCGCCATCTTCACCGAGGTCCAGAAGAGGAGTCAGAAGGAGATAAATGACGTGAAGGCGAAGGTCGCCTCTCTGGAAGGCTCCGAGGTGTACAAGCAGGATTTGAAAGCCCTGAAGGAAGTTGTGAAGGAAATACAAACCTCTGTGAAGGCCAAAGAGAAGGACATAGCGGCCCTGAGAAGCACTCTGCAGACCATGGAGTCCGATGTCTACACCGAGGTCAAAGAGCTGGTGAGCCTCAAACAGGAGCAGCAGAAGTTCAAGGAAGCGGCGGAGTCGGAGCGCCTCACGCTGCGGGCGCTCACGGAGAAGGTGCTGGGCGCCGGGGAGGCCGCGGCCCGCCTGCCCGAGTTGCTGCGCAGGCTCGAGGCGGAGCTGCGCCAGCTGAAGGCGCAGCCCCTCAGGCCGGACGAAGACGGGCTCCTCAGGAACGCCGACGCCTTGGACGAGCTGCAGAGGAAGAGTCAGGGCTTGGACTCCCGGCTGCAAGCTGTGGAAGGGGGCGTCCAGGCCGCGCAGGCGGCCTCTGCGCGGCACGGCGAGAGCCTGGAGGCCCTGCTGGCGAAGGGCGACGAGTGCGAGCAGCGCCTGGCCGCCGTGCGGGAGCGCCTGGAGGGCCTGGCCGCCGCGGCGGAGGACCAGGGCGGCCTGGCCAGCACAGTGCGGAGCCTGGGGGAGGCGCAGCTCGCGCTCTACGGCGACGTGGAGGAGCTGAAGAGGAGCGTGGGCGAGCTCCCCGGCACCGTGGACGCGCTCCAGAAGGTTCAGGAGCAGGTGCACACGCTGCTGGGCCAGGACCCAGCCCAGGCGGCCCGCCTGCCTCCTCAGGACGTCCTGGACAGACTCTCTTCTCTAGACCACCTCAAATCCTCAGTCAGCCAAGTGGAGTCGGACTTGAAAATGCTCAGGACTGCCGTGGACAGCTTGGTGGCCTACTCAGTGAAAATAGAAACCAACGAGAACAACCTGGAGTCGGCCAAGGGTTTGCTTGATGACCTGAGAAATGACCTGGATAGGTTGTTTGTGAAAGTTGAGAAAATCCATGAAAAAGTCTAAATGAATTGTGTGTGCAGGGTGCGGATTGAAAGTTCAGTTTCTCATGACCAAAAAAAAAAATGTGTTGTTTTCTCCCTCGCGGTCCCCGGTCCCCCACGACGTCCTCATTCCTCGTAAAGAGCAGTGGACGCCACTTGGAACACCAAGGTATTTTGTATTTTCATGCCCGGTTAATTTATTTACGATTATTACCACACACCACTGGTTTCTCAAGTTTTCTGCTTCTCCTTTCGGTCGGTTTCCTGAAGGCCAAGCCCCTGTGAATCAGAGGTGCCTTTTAGCAGGATGTCTCTAGTGTCAGAGAAGAACCATAATGGCTTCAACCGAGGATTAACAGAAGCAGATTAACCTCAAAAAAGCCCGGCTGGCTGGCGGATTTCAAGTCAAAAAACCAGGGGGCGGGGGGAGGAGGCATTTTTCTTTCTAATTGTCTTTGAGAACAATTAATTTTATTATTATTTTTTATACTTCTGGCTGCAGTTTTCATGCGATGTCACTCGTTGTCTTCCACTTTAAACCGGTTAAAACTCAAAAATGTCAGCTCTGAATAAGGACGGGGACAAGCCCCTTGTTTTTTTAGTTGAAAAGAAGCAGCTGCCTGACAGTCGCCTCCCTGGTGTGGGTGTCTTTTTCTTTCCTGAGTCATCCCAGTGATCTCAAAGATAACTAACTATGCAAAGAATCCAGAGGGTTCTGAGTGTGAAGGCACAACACCCCACAGAGTCCCCTGTGACCGATGTGTGTCACCTCTTGGTAGGGTCCCTCAATAATGCGTAGGTTTAGAATCCCCGAAAGGGGTGTCCTTGGATTCTTTCAGGAAGTGTATTATGGGGGCTGTCCACAAAGGCGGCTGTCTCCCTGGGGAATGGAGGCCGAGTCTTTCTATTTAACCGTGACGTCCATGAAGAGGTCTGCTGTCAGAGCCGACCCCCATCTGTGAGGGATGTGTGCATTTTCTGTAGTTGTTTGCTGTTTCCCTTTGAGCTGTACTGTTCTTTAATGGCTGTCTTGCCCTTCAAAAAAGAAAAAAATGAAAAGATTAAAAAAGATTGTTTAGTTTACTGTGAAATGAACTGTATGGCTTATTTACAGTATTTTTAATTCTTAATAAACACTTGAGCTTTGTTACGACTTTTCCAGAGTGTTTACTTCCTGAGAATTTAGTAATTATGATATGTTTTATTAATGTGAAGTATTCAGGATTAGCAAGATAGGTAAATTTTCAATTTTCAGACTTTTTTCAGTTCTAAAACCAAGATGGCCTCATTCTTGGTCCTGGGGACATACTTTTGATTGACTGTTAGTAGGTTTGTTTATATATAGGTCATTGCTTGACTTCAACTCTTGTTAGCTCCAGTGGAGGGTCTCAACCTTGAGTACCCTATTAGAATCTTCGGGGGAGCTTTAACTAAGTGCTTGGGCCCACCTGCATGGATTTGGATCCACTGGGTATAAGGAGGGCTGGCACCCTAGCTGCTGCTAATGTGCAGCCAGGTTTGAGAATCACTGTCTCAGACCGTCTTAGTGACTGTTCCAGTGCAAACTTGGGCATGTTTCCTTTACTTCCCAGGTTACCCTCCACCTATAAAGTGGCATCTAATGAGCACCTTGCTAAGTACTTCATAGGCCTCTCTCTGTTTATTCCTCCTGACATTCCTGGGAGGTAGGTATTCTCATTTTCCATTTTACAGAAAGGCAGCAGGTTGAGAAGCATCATATAAGATCATTAGCTAGGAAGTGGCAGGGCTGAGATTTGAACCCAGTCCCTCTCTGTAACTGGGACAGCATCCTTCCCCTTCCACCAGCACCATCGCAGGGCCACACTGACCTCTGCAGCCCTTGCTGTCCCCTGTTTCAGAGCCTGAGGCTACAGGCTCTTTTTCTCTCCTACCCAAGGAGCGGAGAGGGGCCAGGATCTGAATGCATATGTAGTTTCATGCTCTCCTTTCTGGCCAGAGGGCCCCTCATCTCTGAACTTCCTCTGTCAATCATTCTAGGTCCCTGAGGCATCGTCTTCAAGGCTGCATAACTCTGAGCATGATGTTTTTCCAAAATCAGGATGAGCCCTTTAATAAGTGTTAGAAATCACTTGTATTTTTATTCTAAAGTCTAAGAGTTGATATATATGTTTTAAAAACTAGTTTTGCCCTCATTTGGGGAGGGTGTTAAGCAGCATAAACCCCCATGCATGAAGAAAGTTAAATTCTCTTGGTTTCTTATCAGGTTGGTTGGTTGTGTCAGGCATATTCTTGCTCTTTCTCTTGCCATCATTTCTGCGGTCTGTAATCTCAGACTGTGGAGCGGTTTAATAGATTCTCAATACTAGAATAGAAAACATCTACAAGGGCCAGAGACACAATCAAATATAAATTTTAAGTGGTGAAAATCAAAGGAATGCGTTATAAACTCACATTCCTGATGCTGGGGCAGTTGGAGCTAGATCTACCCCAAATAACAATCACAATTCAATCTTGTTCATGTGTATACTCATTCATTCAAATAACATTTGTTGAGCCCATAGTCAGGTGTTTTGCTAAGCATCAGTGAACTCAAGATGTACGTGACAGGATACTTGTCCTACAGCCAGGTGTAATGGGGCACAGAGGAGGGAGTGGCCAGTTCTGCCAGAGTTGGGTGGGGGTGGTTAGAACAGGTTTGCAAAGGTCTACAGGAAGTCCCTTGGAATGCTTCCACGAGTGATGGGAAACTTCAGGAAATGAGGTTGCCATGCCCTTTGGGGAATATGCACAAGTTATTGAAGGTGTTGATTCAATTGTAGATGGTTTAGCACCATGATCAGACTCCACAGTGAAATTTCCCAGGCGAAACTCTCAGCACGCTGGTGAGAAGGCTGCTCTACCACTTCCTGTGTTAACTTAGAATGGATTAGAATGGAATGACGTGAGGGTGATGATGATGGTGCTGGTGGTGCTGCTGGTGGTGTTGATATGATGATGCCTCACAGAGTGGTTGTAAGGGTTGAATGAGATCATGGGTGGAGAGGGTTTAGTTTAGCACAGCATCTGGCATGTAGTATGAGCTCCAGGGCTTGCTCGTGTGCAGCCAGAGGTTAAAAGATTGAAATACTTGATGTGCCGCTTGGTCAACAGTTGTAGCCTTGAGCCCCCTGAGTGCTTCCCTGGGGACCTCTAGACCGCCTCACAGTCCAGCAACTAATAGGTTAACATCCTGGCACAACAAAGACCTCCAGCACCCAGCTCCAGCCTCGTGGCCAACATCAGTTCTAATGGGTGGGCACCCATGCTTTGCCTGTAGTTAAATATTTTGAAATAACCCTATGTCTTCCTTGAAGCATGCCTCTGAGCTACCGATCTGTTTTTCCAGTAACATCTGGACACACACACACACACCCCATCGGACATCTTACAGGGTTCCAAACTGAACCCTGACTAAGGGGAACCCTTGCTCCCCTCATCCTTGAGCCATAAGCTCAGGAGTCACTCCCTGTTCCCTGCCTCTCTCTTTTCCTGCCTCTGCACACTCATCCGGGTTGAAGCCCTGACGCAGCCACCCCATCGCACTTCTAGCCTTCTCTCCACGTCACTAGATGGTGCTTGAGTTCCAGCAGCAGCCCCCTCTCTGTATCCCCTGCCTGTCAACTGAGTACAGAAACATGGTTCGTGCACCCAGTAGTCATTTCATAATATTCAGAGGACAACATTCTGCCTGACATCTGAGAGATGACTAAGAACAAGGCAGGTATGGTTCCCGCCTTCACGATGCTCCTGGTCCATTTGGGAGGAGACCAGCAGTAAATATTGAAAGAAACAGAGCTAAATGTACAAATTGCAGTATATGTCTTGAGGGAGAGGACCAGCCCCTAACTGGCCTCCCTGTCTCTAGCCTCCCCAGCTCTCATTCAGAGAATTCCACACAGGTGACCAGCATGATCTTTCTCAAAAGAGATCTGCCTGTGTCCCTTCTCTATTAAGCCCTTAAGTGTCTCCCCTTTGGCTTCAAGAGAAAATCCCGGATCCATGGTGTGGTTGAGAAGGAACTTTCTGGCTGCTTTGTCTCCCTGCCATCCAGCCTCATCTTCCATGGATTCTGCTCGTAGCTGCACTGACCAACTGAACCATTCCCCATGTACCTCTTGCTTGGTCACAGTGCCTTCGCACACTCGTCTTCCTCCTACTCAGAGTTCCCTGCCTTCCCGTACCTGAACCATAGGCTGAATTGGGGCGCTCTTCCTAGTTGCCATCCTCCAGGCTTCTTGGTATGACAACGCTCCTCCCTCTGTATTACGGCTGCTTGCTTGTCTGTCTTTCCTTCCCACGGGAGGGTGCACTCTGTGGGTGATAGGGCTGTGTCTTTTATCTCTTTATCCACAGAGATCTCACTGTGCTTGGCCCACATCGATAACAATCGAAACAACATTTATTGAGCAGTTACTGTGTGCCAACCACCGTTCCAAGGGTTTTGCAAGGATCCACATAACTATAGGAGTGAAGGTACTATTATTATTATTATCTTTATTTTACAGATAGAGAAACTGAGGCAGAAAATTTAAATAACTTATTCCAAGTACTCACTAGTCACAAGTAGGAAGTGGTACAGCAAGATTTAGAGTCCGATTGTCTCAGTTAAAAACCTGTGCTCTGAAGTTCTCTAGGACTGGTTTCTCTTCTTCACTTAAAAACACCGAGCACTTTTGAGATTTACTTTTTATTGAAATGTATCTTGTGTGTTTTAAAGGCATACATGTCTGAAGTATACAGCTGAATAAATTTCTACACACGTTATACCATGTACTAACCACCAGATCAAGATATATGCAACATTTTCAGCCTTCCAGAGGCTTCCTGCACCCTGCAGTCAATAGCCCCCCAAGGTCACGACTCTCCTGACTGCCATTGTCACCACAGGCCACTTTTGCCCATTTTTGAATTTCAAATAAATGGAATCACACCAAATAAGGCCTGGTTTCTCCTTAAGAGAAACAACAGCTTTATTGCCATATAATTCATATACCATCCAATCCACCCTATTAAAATGTACAGCCGTTCTTAGTATAGTAATAGAAGGCTGGACACATTTCCTAAACCTTGCCCCATCATATATAAAAATTAAGCAGCACCCAGATGTGCAAAAAGAGCAGCCGTTTGAGTATATACAGACTTTCGAATTGGACGATGCCTTTTGGGGTCTCCATCTTGCTGAGAGGAGGGTGAGGTGTGGTGGAAATGTCTGTCCTCTTGCCTCTCAGGCTGGGTCCACAGCAGGTGGGCAGAGGTGAAAACCGCTGAGGTGGAGGGTTGACTGCCCTACTCCCCGCCCCTTCGGGCTGTATTCGGTCAGGGGGTTGATCCCACAGCAGCTGTTTATTATGAACTGGGCACTGAGGTGCATCTGCTCTGAGGGACCAAAGGTGAGGACTCCTCTCATTGGAGACACAGGGGACACAGATACGTAAGTGGCACTGAAATCAGGTGCAGTGTGAACTGTGCAATGGTGAAGGGGTACATATAGGTGGGACTGATGAGGTCTTGGACTTTTGTTGCTGTTGGCTGCCCAGTCCTTTATTTTTCTTTAGAGAATCATCCCTTCTCCACTCTTGATCTGGCTCTGATGAGACTGACTGGGAGGAGCACATGACCCCCGTTGGGCCAGTGAAAAACCCCATCTCCCCGTTTGACTTGTTCAAGATGAACACACGCCCTAACCTGGTCCATTGACTGCTGCCGGAACTTTCCAAAAGGGGTGCTCTTCATCCCCTGGGGCTGCCAAGCTGGTATGAAATAAGCCTAGAGCCACTAGGGGCCACCACCTGTGGAGAGACCACTGAGAATAAAGCCAGCATAGAAGAAAGCAGAGCCAGGAGATGGCATGAGACAGGTTCCTGATGACATAGTATAAGTATCTGGATCCAGCTGTGCCTGAAGCTCCAGAGGCCACACAGAATTTTACACCACTGTACCACCTTTCATATGTATATAAAGTGACATGAAGCCATATAAGGAATGGGCACGGCAGCACTGCTTATGATAAAAAAAAATTAAATACCTAAAAAATCTGACAACCTGATCAATAACTACATTGTCACTTGTTCATACCATGCACCTCAAAGCAACAATGAAAATAAATAAAACAAAATCCTATGTATCGATGAA